GGGACTAGGCTTTTGTTAGTCTGGGTAGTTGCTGTACATTGTGGGATTTCCAGGGGGAGAATCCTGAGTGTGGGAGGGAGGGAGGTGGAGTTCATCCTGCAGTTGGGATGTGGCTGCAAGTGGGGAGCAACTCAGATGTGAAGGGCTGAGCAGATCTTTCTCTTCTGGAGTATGGCCTAAAATCAGGGGGGTCTTCCAGGAGTTCTGGTGAGGCCTATGGAAAAGGGGCAGGAAGGACACTCAGAGGTGGGCTGTGGGTGGGAGGAGCAGAGCAATGCATTGTCCAGAGCACAGTGGCACCTTCTGGGGTTGGGGAGCCTTTCTTTGCTCTGGGTTAGATCTGCTGTGGCCCTTCTCCCTGTCCCGGCCATTGTGAGCCTTAAAGCTTCCTGACACTTGCACCTAACATCTGGGGACCGTGACTTTGGCCTGAACCAAATCAGGTGACTTGTCAGCCTTCCTGTAGATCTTTGTGGAAAGGAGGGAAGGTGGGGCCTCCATCCCCAGGGAGTGTGTGTTGGAACAGAAACTGGATTGTTAGATGTTTTGTTCACTGTCAAGAAAGGTTGTAAATCAGCAGGAGCAAAGCCCAGAAGGCAACTCGGCACCACAGATTGCGCGTTTACTCAGCCCCACACTGCGCTCTGCGGCCCAGCGGATCTTCAGGAAACCTCACTTTCATCAGGTCCCTCCCTGCTCCAGAACCTACAATGGCTCTTTCTTGCCCATCTCATCAAAAATTCTCCTGGTGCCACTTTTCTGGGGCTTGGACAACATGGCTTTGCCTATCTTCACGATTTTTTTTTTTTTTTGCCTCAGCCATAGAATCCTCCGCTGCCTCCCAGTTCCGGAGCAGGGGCTCTCAACCTTCCTGACTGAGCCAGGGTGGGAAATACCGCCCTTTACTCTGTGGTAAACACTGGAGTTCTCTCTTTTTAAAATCTTTTTTATTTTATTTTAAAAAGTGCAGGTCACGACCCATGAAATTGATTTCATGAAGGACTAATGGGTCATGGCCCACAGTTTGAAACGCAGAGCCGATTTAACACAGTACTCATCACGGAGGCCCAGTGACCACCAAGGAGCCTGCAGAGCTGGTGCAAACGCCTCTGGGACAGCCATGCGATGGGAAAAACCGACTCATCAAATCTGACAAAAAATTGGTCAAAAGCATTCTAGAGCAGTGGCCTCCCACTTTTTTTGATTGCACACCCCATCAGTGAAAAATGTTTGAGTGTGCAGCTCTGATGTATGTTTGGTTATTTTTAACCTATCAATGTATTATGTGAGCATATAAAACATATATTGAAAATATAAATTTTAAAAGGATGAGCTAAAGATGAAAGAGACCATATTTCAAATGACATGCTAATCACGATGGCCTCATTCTATTTTCAGCAAAGATCTGAAGGCAAAATACACACAGAAAACAAAGTTCATGGTTATCAGCAGCGGTTGTAAATCTATTTTCAAATTCTTTTGGTAATGTAACATGTTTTTCTGGTTGACTTCTTGTCTGATTTGGAAAACACTGCTTTACATCACACCCTCTCCCCTCAGCGGTGCCCTTCCTTTCCTGTCAAAACTAAAAAGCTCTGTGAGCACCTCTCTTCACTGCCTCCATCCACCAGAAATCTGGAGAGTCATTCTGAGACCTCCCTTTCCCTTGTTCCCCTCAACCTTCATTTACCATAGTCTGGTAAATAGGGGTCAGCTCTTCCCACATTCTCCTTGGATGGCCAGGTTCCCGTCACCTCGCTGAGTGGCCTCCATTCCTTTCACCAGGCTTACGCTCAACCCTCAAGCCCAGCATGAAGGTCACTTCCTCAGTGGCACCTTCTCTGACCACTGCCCAGCACACTTTCTGAGGTACCTGGGACTTTGTATCCAAGGTTCTTATCACAATTTAATTTTTATTCTTATTTATGTTTCAGTTTGTTTAAGGTATATGGCCCTCTGGCATCTAGACTGTGAGCTCCTTCAAGGCAGGGACCGTGTGTGTGTGTGTGTGTGTGTGTGTGTGTGTGTGTGTGTGACTAGCACCCAGGTAATACAGTCTCAATAAATAATTATTAATACAACAACCCTGTGGCATAGTAGCAAATGTTATCCCCGTTTTACAGACGAGGAAATGGAAAGACAAAGTGTGAATTGCCAAAGGTGACCTGGTCATAAATGGGGGTGCTAGTCTCAGACCCAGGTCTTTCAGACAGCAGTGCGTTCATCACTGCTGTTGGTTGTTCGCTTGTAACCTGCACAGGCTAAGGGCTGATTCTGAGTCCCATCGTCCTTGCTGGTGCCCCACCAGCCCTCTACAGCCATTCTCCTTGTCTTGAACTGGCTTCATTAGTACATTGGGTCTCCGTGTAACAACATTTACCCCGTGCTGTTCTGGATAACGCCATCCTTTTCCCAGACAATTCCATGTCTCTAAATCTTACCCACCCTAGCTGGATTATAAAATGAGATCTCATGTTGACTCATCCTCCTCTTGAATCCCTCGCAGAGGACCTGGGGACACCACAGACTGAGTAAATAATTATTGATTAGTTGCCGATCATCAGGAGCGTGGCAAAGTTTTTATCTGACTCTCAAGTTATAGCCCATCTTCCCACATACCTGCCAAGAGCAAGACCGTGCCTCAGATCCAGAGGAGTTTTAACTGTTCTAATTTGCACTTGTTGGCTTTCTTCCTGGTGGATCTCAACTTCTGGCTGAGACCCAAGAATTTAAGGGTCTTCAGTTCTATGAGTAATTTCATGAGTTGCTGATGGCTAATTAGGGGTGATTATAGTTAAGAGGCTTTACTTTCTTAATAACCTTCAGAAAGGACTGGTGATAACTTTTAAAATCTTGATTATTTTCTCTTGCAAATGGGATTTTCTGGTTCCCATGACTGTCTTTTCTTACGTCCTTATAACTTGTCTTCCCATTCTCCCTTCCTGGTGAGAAGGAAATGTGATGTCCTGGGAAGAATTTGGAAACCAATGATTTTGGAAAGTTCTGGCTTTATTACAGAGGACCCATGGGCACACCTAGAAACCACGCTTCGTTTGCATGTCTTTCTCAGAAAGGAGGTGCAGGAAGAGAGGAGGCTGGGCCATGGTTTTGCTTCCTAAGTTCCATCACATTGCAGCCAAACCTGATGCTGTTCATAGACTTTGAAACTGTTGACAATGCTTAGAAACTCTGTTCAGTGAGGGCTTCTGAATAAAGTAGTATTTGTGGGTGAGGGGGTGTTACCTTCCTGTTGTTATCATGATAACATTTTAAGTATTGCTTCACCTTCTTGCATGAGTGTCATCAGAGCTACTTTTTCCTGAGTGTCACTCTGTACCAGGCACAGGGCGTATGTCCACTCCCTGAACTGTTGCAGTTCTTGCAGTAATTCACTAGGCAGTGTTTTAAAAGCTTTATTGAAATATAATTCACATAACATACTTCACCAATTTAAAAGTTTACAATTTGATGGCTTTTAGTATATTCACAGGACTGTGCAATCATCACCACAATCTAATATTAGAATGTTTTTGTCACCCCAGGAGGAAACCTTGTACCCTCGCATGAGTCCACCTTCTCCCCTGCCAGACCGTGGCAACTTCTGATGTCTCTGTAGATTTGTTTATGCTGGATAGTTCTTATATGTGAGATCATACAGTATGGCCTTTGTGGCTGGCGTCTTTCACTTAGGATAATATTTTCAAGGTTCATCTATGTTCTAGCATGGGTCAGCACATCATTTCTTTGTATTGTTAGTATTTATTCACTTCTGAGATTAATGCTGGTCCCCCAGTTCTGTCCTTGCTATCCACCTCTCACTCAAAGGAAACAGCTATGTTGAGGAGCCAAACACAAGAAGACTAGCTGTACACTGGGGAAACCAAGACAGGCAAAATGACTTTCCTATGGCTAAGTAACCTACAATAAATGGGGGTAAATTTCTAATGCAGGTTTGCCTAAGGCCACCTTGGCCATGAACTCAGAGTCCGAAGTGTCAACTAATGGTTATTGGCACCAATTCAACACCAACAGTAATCCCCAATTTGGGGTGCAGTGAAAAAGGAAACTTTATTCAGTGCAAAACATCATGGCTGGGAGGCAACCCTAGGGCCAGACCATCTCTGGCTGGACAGCTCTGTTCTGCTTCTCCCTGGTCTGCTCTGCTCCAGGCCAGTATGCCTTGCTCTGCTATGTTCCGTACCAGTCAACTCTGGCCGTACTGGTCTGCTCTGCTCTGTCCCAGGGAGACATCTTTGGTGTTTCAGCTCAGCCAGGGAAACACAGCATTCAGTCTTTGGTGGAAAGACAAAGTGTACCCCCAGAGCCAGGGGGTAGTTGGCTTATATAGACAGAAGTCCCTGCCCCTGGTTTCTGATTGGTCTATCCTCATGCAAATGAGGACTGCACATCCTCTCATCATGATTGGTACTGCTCTGTTGGTTGGAGCTCCACAGCTCTGACTGGATGGGGAAAGCGTGAAGTAGTATTGTTGAAATGGGATTCAAAGAACTCCTTTACAAGGGCTGGTTCAGATGGCAGAACACAGTGTGGACAGGCAGTTCAGTGCAGAAGCAGGCAGTTCAGTGCAGGCTTTTTTCTCTCTAGAGTGCAGTTTTGTGTGAAAGGCCTGTGTAGAAATGGCTGATAGGCTTTGGTGTGTTTTTTTTTTTTTTAATTTAAATACAGTTAGCCACCAGGAGCCTTTCTTAGTACACATTTTCTTTTTCAGGGTCCACAGAGATAATCATTGATAGGTATTTATTGAACATCTGTAGATCAGTCACTCTGCTGAGTGTTCTGTAAATTTGGTACCAAATGTTCATATGTAATCAAACTTCAAATGGAAAATCTGGTAACTATAACTGGTCAGTGGAATTTTTGTTCTCATGTCTTCCATTTGCTCACTTCTGGTTTCATTGGCCTACTTAGGCTGTAGAATCATAGCCTGTACAATCTTCCTGAGCACCACACTAAAAATAGCATTGTTGTTCCTTCTGTAGGAGTTTGAACACCACTCCCACCTGCAGAAAATTGGCCCTATCTCCCAGGAGCATTTGCTTTTCCCTTGGACCACAGCATCATGTTTCTCCATTTCATGCAGTCTCTCAGGTAAGTGGAGAGCCTCGCATTGAGATCCAAGTAGCTTGAGTTCTAAGCTGTATCCTGTCATTTTTTAACTAAAAAATCTTTAAGCCTCAGATATTTTTAATAGAGGTATTATTAGATCAGTGGATATATATCATGGGTGCATAATAAAATTACCTGAAGAGCTTGAAAAATATTATCTTCTGCTTGCATCTCCTCAGATTTTGACTTAATTGATCTGGATTATTTAAAAGGTGGCATCTCTAGTCCCTTCTGCTCACATTTGTGACTGTCCCCTACATTTTTTCTTTGATCCTGACATCCATGATAGGTAAGCAGAACAATCACTAGTATCTCTCATTGGTAGAACAGAAACCAGGGCTGGGAGCCCTTCACTCCTGTGTGCCATAATCCCTCTGAGCAGTTGGAAGGAGGGCCCTGTGCTGGGAACTGCTGTCCCTGCCATCGAGGCTATTTCCAAACTTTAAGCTAATAAACCCTTTTTAAAAAGTCTTCAATCAGCATAATTTACAATAGCCAAGTGTTGGAAGCAACCTATGTGCCTATCAGTAAATGAATGGATCAAAAACTATGGTACATTTACACAATGAAGAACTATGCAGTAGAAAGAAAGAAGGAGTTCCTACCCTTTGCAACAGCAGGGATGCAACTGGAAAGCATTATGCTAAGTGAAATAAGCCAGGTGGAGAAAGACAAATACCATATGATCTCACCTTTAACAGGAACCTAATTAATAAAACAAACAAACAAGCAAAATATAACCAAAGACACTGAAATAGAGAACAGGCTGACAGTGACCAGAGGGGAGAGGGGAGGGAATTTCAGGGGAAAAGGGGAAGGGTCTACAGGAACAAGTATAAAGGACACATGGACAAACACTAGGGGGGTTGGAAACAGGAGGGAGGTGGAGACGGCTTTGGGGGTGGGCTGAGATGGGAAAAAAAGACAGAAAACTGTACTTGAACAACAATTAAAATTTTAAAAAGTCTTCAATCAGGACTTCTGGCCAAGATGGAGGCATAGGTAGACACACTGTGCCTCCTTGCATAACCAAAAAAAGGACAATTTAAAAACAAAAAAACAACCAGAACTGACAGAAAATTAAACTGTATGGAAGTCCGACAACCAAGGAGTTAAAGAAGAAACATCCATCCAGACCGGTAGGAGGGGCGGAGACGGGCAGCTGGGCAGAGGGTACAGGGGGCTTGCAAGGCTGCACCTGGCGGACCGGGTGAGGTGGTAGATTGTGGACTGGGTGGTCCCACATTCAAGTACAGATAAACCAGGAAGAGCACTTGGGGAGCGAGATAGACCTCGGAACTGGGGTCCCAGTGAGGGCAAATAAACCCTCAAACCATGGATTGAAAAAACCTATGGGGGTTGAGGAGGCAGCAGGAGAGACTCCCAGCCTCACAGGAGAGTTCCTTGGAGAGACCCACAGGGTCCTAGAACGTACACAAACTCACCCACCTTGGAGTCAGCACCAGAAGGGCCCAATTTGCTTGGGGGAAGCGTTGGAAGGGACTGAAATCCGGCAGAGAGAGAAGTAAACACTATTGTTCCCTCCCAGGCCCCTGCCCCACATACAGTGTCACAACCCACTGATGAGGGTTACCCACTCTGGTGAACACCTAAGGCTCCTGCCCTTATATATAGCAGGAGTGCTGAGCCAAAAAAAAGAGGCCCAAATGAAAAAACAGATCAAAGCTCCAGAACAAATACAATTAAGTGACGAAAAGATAGCCAGCCTATCAGATGCATAGTTCAAAACACTGGTAATCAGGATGCTCACAGGATTGGTTGAATTTGGGCGCAAATTAGATGAAAAAATGATGTCAATGCTAAGTGAAATAAAGGAAAATGTACAGGGAACCAATAGTGATGGGTAGAAAACTGGAACTCTAATAAATGATGTGGATCAGAAGGAAGAAAGAAACATTCATCCAGAAAAGAATGAAGAAACAAGAATTCAAAAAAATGAGAAGAGGCTTAGGAACCTCCAGGACATCTTTAAATGTTCCAACATCTGAATCATAGGGGTACCAGAAGGGGAAGAGGAAGAGTAAGTAATTGAAAGCTTATTTGAACAAATAATGAAGGAGAACTTCCCCAACCTGGCAAAGGAAATAGACTTCCAGGAAGTCCAGGAAGCTCAGAGAGTCCCAAAGAAGTTGGACCCAAGGAGGAACACCAAGACATTTCATAATTACATTACCCAAGATTAAAGATAAAGAGAATCCTAGAAGCAGCAAGAGAAAAGAAGATAGTTACCTACAAAGGAGTTCCCATAAGACTGTCAGCTGATTTCTCAAAAGAAACCTTGAGGGTAAGAAGGGGCTGGAAAGAAATATTCCAAGTCATGAAAGGCAAGGACCTACATCCAAGATTATTCTATCCAGCAAAGCTTTCATTTAGAAAGGCAGGGCAGATAAAGTGCTTCTCAGATAAGGTCAAGTTAAAGGAGTTCATAATCACCAAGCCCTTATTATATGAAATGTTAAAGGGATTTGTCTAAGAAAAAGAAGATAAAAATATGAAAAGTTAAATTATAGCAAGCTCACAGTTATCAACAACCACACCTAAAACCAAAACCAAAACCAAGCAAACAACTAGAACAGGAACAGAACCACAGAAATGGAGATCACATGGAGGGTTATCAACAGGGGAGTGGGAGGAGGAGAGAGAGGGAAGAGGTACAGAGAATCAGTAGCATAGATGGTAGGTAGAAAATAGATAGGGAAGGTTAAGAACAGTATAGAAAATGTAGAAGCCAAAGAACTTATATGTATGACCCATGGACATGAACTAAAAAGGGGGAATGTGAGTGGGTGTGCAGGGTGGAGGGGAATAAGGGGGGGAATGAGACAACTGTAATAGCATAATTAATAAAATATATTTTTAAAAAAGGTCTTCAATCAAAATACGATGTAATCTCAATATTTAAAATAGCCAATGGCAGTATTTTATTAAGGTAAATTTATTTTACATGTTCAACTTTGTAGTATTTACATATTATAAGATCAATGAGTCTGTTTGGATAAACACCAAAATTGGAAATCAAGATGTATAACTGGTAGCTGGTAGATCAGCCTCAGCATCTGGTTGATTTTACACTTGTTTTAGCTGCATAGTATTAAGAAAATCTTGAGCTGTACAGGTAAGCAATTGCAATGAGTAACAGTTTTTTGATGAAACTCATCTTGCAATATCAGGATATTCTTGAAATTAATTGATTCATAATCTAAAAAGAAGGGAAGGAAAACCTTCTGTTTCAAAGTTGAATCACTAAGGATGTTTTGCAGTCTCCCCCACAATAACTATATGTTAGCCCAAATGCCCAGAGCTTACAATGAAAAGTAAAACAGTCTGTGATGTGATATTACGATGGTGCCAGTTACAATTGCACAGCCTGGACTTGAGCATTTGTCAGGCAAATGCCCTTAGGTGTCTTCAGGAGGGTCTTGGTGGGCTCACCTCCAAGCTGTGCATTATTTCAGAGAAATTGCTCACAGACTCTAAATGAGGATGGGAGTAGTTGAAAGCTAGATGTCACCTTGCTACCCTTATGGCAGAGCTCTGGAAGTCTGGAACAGCCTCCACCACTAGGGTCCCGCTAAGGGAGAGTTTGGGAAGGGCTGCTCAGCAGGACTCCCCCCCCCCCGCAGAGCCCTGCTGCTAGGCCTGGGGTTCTTTGGGGGAGCTCAGCCGAGATTTCCATCAGCTTTCCTTCCTAAGCCAGGGACTCAAACTATTTTTGCATTCTGTTTCTAGAGCCCTGTAAACTGAAAAAGCAAAAACAAAACAAAAACAAACCTAGAGTGTTTTGTTTAAATGCTTTTCAAAATGTTCTGGGGAAAGGGGCTTTGGTTACTTGGAGAGTCAGAGGTCTCTGACAAAATTGGTAGATGGGAAACACACCTATTAAGGGCTTTTTAATATTTATCGGGGCAACCAAAATGCATTCAGATCTATTGGAGAAACTGAAGGATTTCTCCACCTACAGAGAAAACAGGTCAAAATTAGAAGTCAGCTGCAAAGAAAATCCCTGAGAGGAAAAAACATTTAAGGGGATTCACAATTCTGATGTGCAGAGATTTAGTTTAAAAATCCCTGCTCAGTGTTTGCCAAGCCACAGAAAAACAGAAAGCCAGCTTCCTCATTGAAAGAGACAGAGCAGCCCCTACTAGTAATGTAGCAAGAGTATCTCTGCCACACTCTGAGTGTGTAATAAAAAAGAATCACAGTAAACCCAGTAGCAGAAGACACATAAGATTTTAACTCTTGATGGAAATGGTTAGAGGCTGTGGCAGAATCCTGGGTGAGCTCTGGATATTGGGCAAAATGCATGGTAAGTAAAGTCCTTTTGAACCAAAGGGTCAGTCAAGGCTACATTAAGGAAGTTTGTCACCTGGTCACCTGTTCCAAGTCTTTAGAGGGGAAGAGGTACTAAGCGATCGAGTGTTTATATTTCTAAAGCCTTGCTCCAAATTTTGTATGCACAGCTACGTCTTTATGTGTTTGTTCAGTGACCTAGTGGAAGGAAACACCGTCCCCCCCCAGAAGCGCTGCAATGAGCTGTGACAGCTGTCTCCCCGGGGCAGCCCGCAGACCCTCCTTGAGGCCAGCGCTTTCTTTCGGTCTCTGCCTTCACCTCCTGCAGTGCTTCAGTGTCATGACTGCATTTCATGTTTGAAATGCAAATGGAGGAGAAAGCAAAACTATTGGGAATACCAAACAGTTGGTGAAGTTGGCAAGAAATAAAGTTGTTTCAGTGATTCTTCTTTTGAGTGGTAGTTTTTGAAGAAATGCAGATGTAATTAGAGAGATTACAAGGATAGATGGTGATTTTTATAGATTTTATAGAGAGTTCTGGATCATTTTAAGCATTTTACAGATTGATGGCCCTAGGTCAAGTGTCTGGTTTTAGTCTTCTGAAACTTAAAGGCTTTTCTTTTCCTTGATATACATTTCAGTGAGTAATATTACTGTAATGCCTGTCAGCT